CGTCGCGGACGCCGCTGGGAGGCGCGCATGAGCGACAAGGCGCAACAAGGCGTTGTTTTCGCCCTTTTTGAACTTTACTTTGCAACTTTATTAGCTCTATAAAAATGACTTGTTAGAGAAATAATGACGGTTAACGTGTGATATACTTTAATTCGCTTCAAAATTCCTGGGACGGCTCTCGCCAATCACACCCAGAGAATGTGACGTATAGACCTTTTCCACAAGGGCGCCGCCATCTTGAATTGTCGTCACTTCCAGTATGGGCGACGAAAAAAAAGTAAAACGTTTCAACCTGTAACTAGTAAAAAAATAGAGGCGAGCCAAAACGAGAATGTGTGACGGTTAGGCTTATATCCTAAATGTCTTCTATTGGCGTGGCAACGGCAAAGTTACGTTTTCACCCATACTGGAAGTGACATCAATTCAAGATGGCGGCGCCCTTGTGGAAAAAGTCTATAGTGAAAGGGAGCGCCGTTATGCGCGCGCATTCGGCACCTCGCGGCGCCACCGTCGGAGGAGGTGTTTCTGAGTTGTCAAATTAAAATATGATGCGCTAATATTTTCAAACTCTTTCATTGTCCACTGGGTTTCCGGGACCACTAGCGTGTAGAAACCGCAAAAAAAAGTCGACGCTCAAATACTGTTGGAGGGCCCCTTTAAGGAGCTTCGCCCCTAAAACCCACGTTTGCACACCCACAACGTGTACGCACGGGGGGGGGGGGGGGGGGAGAGTTCTGGACATTGATCAGTTAGGACTGAACGGAAAATGCGTTATTTTCTCTAGATTTTTTTTTTTTTTTTTTTTTAATATCAAGCAGCCGCTAATCTGGTTCGCCAAAGAGGGTTGCCGGCTCGTTTGCTCGCTCCGGCTGCGCTGGTGCTGCGTTTGAAACTCTACGCTTCAGACGCTAAGCCTGACCCTCCACTTCAATGTGTTTCGAGACGAGAGAGACAGAGAGACAAGACAGCGTGGAGTAAGTCGCACACCGGCCGCAACGAAGACAATAAGTTTAATAAGCCAGCGTCGCAACAGACCAGGAAAGTAGATTGAAGAGCTCGCCGAGAACGAACACCTCAGTGTAAACGCTTCGCTTCAACCGCACAGGGCAGCGTCTTTGTGGAGATGGGTTGACTGCTGCGCCGCGACTGGGTTCGAAAACGAAGCTTGGGAGTTTCGGTGCTCTTGGAACATTCAGTGACTCTAAGGTGGCCCATTCAGAGCGGGTTTTAAATTTCGATTCCATTTTCTGGATGGATGGATAGATGAATGGATAGATGAATGGATGGATGGATGGATGTTACTCAGAGCCGTGTATACAGAGAGTTTGGTCAATGGGAGGCGCGGGCAGAACCAGGGCGTGCACCAGACACAGAAAGTAGGCTAGGCATGCTCCCTTGGCCAACCAGAAACCTAAAAGAATCCCCTAGCGGTGGTAGCGAGAAACTGTTTTGGTCCAGGCTATATGTTGGTATAGGGTTTTAATAAACGCGCAAGGGTGAAGTGTAGTAACCCTTTATCGTTGAAAATAGGGTGCACGTGATGTTTCGATCATGATCACGCAGATGGATGTAAGATACTTAATCACGCAGATGGATGTAAGAAACGAACGCGCCGCTCAACTCTGTTTTGCTCGGGTAGAATGTGACCGCTCGGACGGCAGATTTCGGGCCTTCGGCGCTTGGCGTACGGATTACGTCGATCGTTTGGCTAGTCACACTCTTCCACCATTATTTTGGATGACCATGATTGAAACATCACGTGCACCATATTTTTAGTAACCGAGAGTTACTCCGACGCACTTATCAAGTTTATTTCTCGCGACCACCGCCAGGGTATTATTTGCGGCTTCTGGTTGGCCACATTCGAATTTTTAAAGACGCCCTGGAACATGCCCAGCCCGCTTTCGGTCAATCGCGCCTCCTCATTTGTCTCCTATACTGCACAACGAATGGCCAAACTCTCTACATACACGGCTCTGATGTTACTGTAATCCTCTTCTCCTTCCTTTGTAGCGGGCGGTAGCTTGCGCCACCGAGCTTAAGCCTAAGAAAAACAAACATTTGATTCCTCCCGCCCTTCTAAGCCACTTTTATACCCCTAACATCACCAGGTATTGTGGAATATCACCAGGATGAACTTAGGGGGATCGGGCAAAAAAACTAAAAACATCACCCCCCCCCCCCCTCTTCCCCCCGGAGAGGGAGTCGCCAATTTTCCTCTGGTCAAACCTTGTCGGCGTTACCCCTGTACCGGACCCACTGGGGTACAGGGTTGAGATTTTCGCAGGAGCCACGCGGGAGGGAGTCCCAATTTTACTCTGTCCCGCCTGTCCCCAGCTGTGCTAGTTAGTTGTGCATCATTCAATTTTCCCTAGATAATTTCCACCAATCTCCTAATCGCCTCTTTGTGACTGCTATCCTCTTCTCCTCCGTCCTTCCATCGTCGCCAGCAAAGCCCAGGGGTTAGAGAGGGCAGGACGAAGCCCCGTGTGCTTTAATACCAAGTGCTCCAATGCCTCACTCTCATTATGGCAGGCAGCACATAATATGTCTATCTCCTGAAATATAGCCCTAAACGTGCTCGTCCCCACAAATCCCGTTCTCGCATTGAACAGCAAAAAACTTCCTAGTAAATTTTCAGACACATCTTTTTTTTTTTATGTTCTGCATTCGTGACCTGTACGCTTTTAGAGGTGATTTATCCTGCATTCTTCCCTCCCACATTTTCCTCTCTGCCTCTTTCACCCCCTCTTCCACTGAAGTAGTCTGCTCAGCCCCCTCACCAGTGTGTGGGTATTTAAATGTAAGCTTTCGGGTTTGATTTGTCCATTTTGTGTTTAAACTTTTCAAGTATAAACACTTAAATGCCTTGCGTGCCCACTGCGTATCATCCATTCCCCGGTCAACCTTTGTTTAAATTCAACTTACTAATTGCCTCCCTTCTTTCAAAAGGCGACCAGCCCATGTCCCCCTGTACACCCTCATTTGGTTCTTTCCATGTGCTCCCAGCGCCAGTCTGCCTAGGCTTCTTTGTCGAAATTCTAATCCTGTTTGAACTTCTGATTTCATGCACAGTACCCCACTGCCAAAAGACAGTCCTGGTACCATCACTCCTTTCCATATACCTCTGACTACTTCATATCTATTATAGTTCCATAGCGTCTTGAGCTTCATAATAGATTAATTTCTTTTCTATTTTCTAAATATATTCTCCTCATGTTCCTCTAGATATTTCGTACCCTCATTGAGCCAGGCTCCCTGATATTTGTATTTTCCTACTTGGTCTATTTCAATGTCTTGTATCCTCAGCGGTTCCCTCTTTTCGTTGTTAAGCACCATTACTTCAGACTTGTCACTACTAAAACTCATGCCCAATGTGTCCCCTTCCTCTCCAAATATTCCAGATAGTTCCTGTAACGTATCCTGGTTATCGTCTATAAGTACTATGTCGTCTGCATACATCAGTCCTGGTATTACCTGTAACACATTTCTCCATCTACCATATAACTCATATCAAACCCTAAGTTGCTCCGCTTTAATTTCTTTTCCATTTCACTGAGATATATCGTGAAAAGCAGGACAGTGGACAGCCCTGCCTGAGCCCTCTTTTTATCGCTGTGGGTTGTGTAGTTTCTGCTTCCCATGCCATGTACATTTTTGCTCATGTATGTGCATCCCTCCCTCGCAATGATGCCTTAGTTAGGCGCTGCGAGGTAACCTGAATAAATAAATAAAATTACCTTATTGTCTGTGTACACCTGCTGAAAAAACCTAACCAAATATGCACCTGAGTTACATTCCCTCATCTGACTCCAGAGTTTTTCCTGGCTCACATTATCGTACGCTCCCCTGATGTCCAAATAAGCTAACCACAAAAGAGTCTGGTTCTTCATTGCTATATCTATACATTGTGGGGTGACGAATAAGTTATCTTCCAGTCTTCTATCTCCTCGGAGTCCGTTTTGGAGCTCACCCAGTATTTGCATATCTTCTGCCCGTTCCTCTATTCTCCGCTTTACTATCTGCATAGCTAAACTGTATAGAACTGAAGTTACCGTTATTGGGCGATACGACTTATTGTTATTTTTGTTTCCTCGGCCTTTATATATTAGTCTCATTTTAATCACTTTACAATCCTTGGGCACCGCTCCTCCCATAATTATTTGATTTTTTACATGTTATAACTTCAAGATGCTTGTTTTACCTAGTGTCCTAATGAGTTCTATGGGTATGTCGCCTGGGCCTGTCACTGTACCTGCTGGAAACTTACTTTCTGCCTTACCCCATTCACATGTGGTCGTCTTCATTTTTACATAATTCTGCTCCTCCTCTACGCTGCTGCTGTCAGTGGTATCCACCGTCCCCCTCTGTTCAAGCTGGGACAAAGCCCCTTCGATTGTCTGCCTAATATATTCCCGTGCCTCTTCCCCCTCCACTCTTCTTCCTTCCTGTGTGGTTGGCACGTTGGTTGTCAGACTCCCAGTGTTGCTAACTAGATTAACTGCTCTCAGCCCCCTTGTCGATGCTAGCGCCGCGCTTGTTCGAATACCAAGCTCTCTCACATAGTTACTGAGATGTTTCGTGACTAGTACCGAATTGAAGGAATCTGGTATAATTCATTAGGTCATTTTCAGGCCTTCCCTCCCTAAAGAGGGCCCATTTTTCCCTAATTCTTAGGTATCAAGGTCTTTCGTATTTACTATCAAATATCAAATGTAGAATTATTTTTAATTGCAGATGAACAGTTAAAACAAAAAATAAACATTTCTAGGTTGCATTAAAAAACTCAATTTACAAGGCTTTAAAGCTCAGACTGGTCTGATGTTGAAATTATTGAATATTTTAAAGAATGCTTAAACATACGGAAGTTTTCGAGTAGCATAATCAACTAAAGAGCACTTTAAAAGGTATTTAGAACATTAAATTTCAAGGCATTTAAGCGTTATGTAAGAATTGTTCATGATACAAATTCTTATCTCTCTCTCTCAGGCGCTATCGCTATGGAGAAATGCTCTTTCGCTTGGACAAAAAACCAGAAAACGCCAGCTCTCCATTCTGTGTCCTTGCGCGTGGTGTCTGGATCAATCGTTGGCGTCGCCGGTGCCATTGGAACAGGAAAGTCTGCCCTTCTCGCCGCTATTCTTGGTGACATGCACTGCATTCGAGGAGTCATGAAAGTCAATGTAAGCATGTTAAAGTAGTGCGGGTATTGAGGCCTTCTGTACGCGAGCAATTTTGTGTGACCAGCTGCTATATGTGTTCTGCGTGTCCGACTGCGAGCCGCTGTTTCGTACTCGCAGCAGCGACATTAGAATAAATTATTATGCCATGTGCTCACGTTGATATTTCTTCATTTAGAAGAGACGGAATTCCCAATAAAATTATTTTAAGTGCCTGTATGTCACAAACTCAACTTTCCCGGAAAAAAATGAATGCAATATTTACGGCGTATGTCCTATTAACCGATTACGAAACATTCTTTTAGTTCGGGTTCGGCGTAACGATTAATATCACCGACAATAACAATAATAATAATAATATTATTAAATAAACCTGTGAATTCATCTATAATGTACAGTGCCCAGGAAATACCTAGAGGTCTTGGTGTTGGAACACAACTGAGCAATAAATACACACAAAAGAAAAAAAACAACTACAACTTGGGGGTTGCCTAAGTTTCGCCTTTAGGAGTGGAACGTGATAGCGTTATCGGGTTCCGTTCGCAGACGCTTCTCGTACAAACGCGTGCTTGTTGCCAGTCCGTGCAAGCGTGTGTTCGTGATATGGTCGATAGCCTCACGTGTCATTTGACATCCCACGTGGCTGTGACATCATTACCCTATCGACGCGGTAAATTGGGTGGTAATATTTTCCGCTAAATCTGGCAGTATACTTCTTTGCTAGATTTCGCTAGAAAACTGCCCGCTAAATATGGCGGGAAATTTTCCGCTAAATTTGTCGGGGAAAGCTTCTGCTAAGCATGGCAGGAAAATTATCTTCTAAATTTGGCGGGAAAAGTTTTCTGCCAAATTTAGCGGGCAAATCCCAGAACGCGACGCGCTCGGCCACGTGTGACGTCACGTGGGACACACGTGGCTGCGCGTGTTGCTTAATGGGAATTTTCCGTCCTACCGACGCCGACGTCGGACTTTCTCCGACGCGAGCTCCTAAACGCTTTCGCGCTAAAGAAATGAAGAAAGTCAATGCTCTGTACACTATATATGGTTCAGGCTTTGGGAGCTGATATATTTTATAGAAGTAAAACAAAATAAGATAAATTTTCAGCATAGTAATTGTCGGCACGCGTGTGAAACTTAGAATAAAAAATTATGAGACAGTAACGAAAATAGTAATAGTAATAATGATAATAAGACAAGCGTAAAACTACTGCGAATATTCTTATCGCACTACCCACATAAAATAAATATGATTTGTTAACGCAAAGACACTGTCTTGTTAAGACGGTGTCTATACGCGCATTAAAATATTTTACACGAGAGATGCGCTGCCCACTGGCATGTTTCGGAATTACTCCTATCATAAAATGTGTGCCGAGAAATGAATACCGCGTTAAGCTGTTTTTCTGGTTTTGTAACATACTTCGACCCATACTTTTATTATATTTATATTATATCTATACCATTATTTCGAGATCGTCGTCTGGAAATAGAGGCATCCTTCAGAGTTGCTTCCATCTCAAAATGTCTCTCGCGATGTTAGCATTTGAGAGGAGATCGAACTATAGGGGGTACAGTGTTATTATCATCATCATCACCTCAAACAATCGCAGTGTGGCAAACGACGCCGACACTAAGCACTCGCCTAGCGCATCACTGCGTAGTTTCCGCGCTCACTGCATACTTGCTACTTGTTTGTAGCGATATGGTGCACACTTGCTGCATACCGCAGTGCTCAAAGCATGCTTTTGAACCGGGTATAAGTATTCATGGGTTTCCTGTCGGCGGAAAACTTCGATCGTCGGCTCGCCGGTGGGGTTCATGATCGTCCCGAGAGACAGGGTAACTGAAAGAGTGAAGCGCGCATTTCGTGAACCATCTAGAAAAACAAAAAATAAACACGGGACGTCGTGCCGGCCACGGACGATCCAGCGCGCGCGGTACCCGAGCGTACCCACACATGCGTTTGTTTTTCCTTCTAAGAGGACTTAGGTGACATTGAACTCAAGAGACAACTAGATTACTTATATTTAGAGGCGCTTAGCAGAAAAGAATAGTGTACATACCTTTCACGAGCCTTGCGTCGCCGTCTTCTTTGGCAGCGAATGCAGTAATGACCGCGGTTGGAGGGTTTGTTTGCCACACAGCGTTAGTTCCTGAGGTGGCCGCTAGAAAGCGCCACTCCTCGGGCTTTTCAATGGCGGAGGCGCTGGGCTGCTAGCCTGTCCTGGAGCCTGTGTCATCCGCGTGCAGAAACAACGTCAACGGTGATGACGCCACGCCGAAGGCCAACGGGGTGGTAGAAAAACCAAAAGGCGCCTGGGAAATTGGTTGCTGAGGTTACAGAAAAGGACCATTTAAACTCCACAAGCTAGGCACCACACCATGGCGCAGCCCGCGTTAAAGGGAAGTGCTGCAAATCATGATCATCATCATCCTCCCCAAAAGTGCGAAAGTTTTTTCAGGGAAACTATAATGTAATAAACGTATTCGTGTCTTGCAAGGGTGCTTAAAAAAAGGTTTATTGGTTAGCCGAATGCGCCTTTAAATGTTTCGCAAACTCTCTTTGAGATTTCAAAATGTCTGTAAATGTTTTTTTTTTATTTGAATTTGCAGGGCCGTATTGCCTACGTTCCACAGGTGGCATGCCTGTTCAACATGACTGTTCGAGAGAATATAGTATTCGGTAGCCAATTTGATCCAATGCGCTATGGCCGTGTTTTAGAAGCATGTGAGCTTGTACAAGACATTCGGACCCTTCCTGCCGGTGATATGACGCAGGTTTCAGAAAAAGTAAGTGGTGCCTGTCTTTCCACTGATTAGGGCACATTAGCCTGAAATATTTATCTTTAGAAGTTTACAATAATCAGGGAAAGCATACAATATATAATAACTAAAATGCCAGAAATTTTGAAAAAAAAAAGAATAGAGTAAATTCTTACTAGACTTTTATAATTTCATGCTCAACGAGTTTTGACGTTGGTACAGAAAGAAGACAGATGCTACTTGTTTTCTCATAAAAGAATTTGATTCATTGCAACAAAAACGAGACACCGACGAATTACCTGAGGCCCTATTAGAAAAGAGACAGGCTGTGATTTTTTTGGAAAGTGCGTGAGTTTGATTATTTTTGTTCTTAATTTCTGAGGGGTAAGTGTACCCAGGCAGCACACCAGAGTAGGCTTAACTTTGGCACAATACTTGATTCATTAGATTCCAATATTGGACCCAATACTGGGGTGCAACCCGCTCCAACGTTGTACTAATGATGTTTTCGATATTGGGCTAATGACGATCCGTCGTTACTCTCATCATTATTCCAATATAAACATTCCAATTTATACAATGAAATACCAAAATGTCTAACCAATATTATGGCGTAATCCCCAATATTGGATTACATTATAAATTCCAGCATTTTCAATATCGGCGTCCAATGATAGGATGTGATTTTAGATATTACTTTCGAATTATAGGACAGTATTTATGATAGTGGTATACAATATTATGCCGCGATTTTGATTTGTTATCCAGTATTATTCCACAACTTCTAAAATTGGCATCCAATGATTCACCATTTTAGTGCAAAATTGTTAACCAATTATATTCAGGTATTTACAATATTGTAATTCAATCACAAACCAATTTCTCCAATGTAGTTATCCAGTTATACCAGCTTTCCCCAATATTGACAACCAATGATAGATCACTTTTCTAATCTTGTAAGTCATTATTAACCCAGATTTTTTAAGCTTGTAATTTATTGTTAGCCCAGTTTTTATAATTGTTTTAAACATGATAAACTCTAACCGCGCTAATATTGGCCACCCTTCTTCAGCTGGGTTTTGACAATTGTTTGGCAAAAACACTCTCTATTAATCGTTATTATGAATACTGAGGAACAAACATTTATCGTACCATATGTATTTTTTTTACATTTGATGTCAGATAATATAAAAGTAAAGTCATCTATATTTGCCTTAGCGTAAGACACAACAAACCCGTGAACTTTTTAATGATCCTTATTTATTTATTAATGATATTCCCCCATTGCAGAACTAATGAATGCCGGCCCTTTTTCAATTGCAAATCAGCCAAAGTAATAGAGGCGACAAATTAATGCCCCTTTGAAGCATGAACACCAAACTTAGCTACAAATTAACACTGATTGTTAGAAACATTGCTGCCTTGGAAAACTTTGTTCATACAAAAAAGACACTGGGAAGTGTGTAATATATAGGGCACATATAAGCACAGCACTGCGGTAAATAAGGAAAGACGAGAAGTAATTTTGTTCCAAGTTCTTTAGATTGTGCAATTTTAGCAATTAATAATTCTGTCACAAAAAGGATATTACTTATATACGTAAACATTCTCTGTTGTGCCATCATCCTGTGCTCGACGACCATTTCATGAAAACGTAGTTGACCATATACATTAATCTCTTCATTTACTTTTTTTGATTTATGGTTATTAATGCGGATAAAGTACATTTCTTAATGTGTCATGTATTAGAAGAGAAAACCCGAGTTCTAAAATTAAAAAAAATGGTTTTGGCTATTTAATGACCATTATATTTTCTCCAACCACATTTGAAAAATGGGCGTTAAAGAAGGGCCTTAAGTAGATTTCAAAATCACACGTAGACAATGTCGAGAAAGTGCCTTATGCTATGTCTCGCTAAGTAAAGACGCTGTAGCCATGTCATCACGAACGTGGTTGTCAAAACGGACACACTTACATTTAACAGTGTAACACCCCATCTTATTCCCCGTCCTCAATTAGAAAAGCAAGTAAAACGCACAGACAAAAATACATCCAACTCTTTGCGTTGCGATGTTGGTGTAAATTATTTTTTCGATAAAACAATTTATTCTATTTGGGCACAAGCAAGTGACCGTTCCTGGATCGTTACAGGTTGAACTTGAACTGTTTATTTTACACTCTGTTTTAAAACGAACGCGGCTGAAAAGCAGTAATAAAAATTAACATATGGCCATTTTTGACTATGTCTCCTCGCACATTTTAAATATTGGTTTTGCTTCATCTTAAAACCTACTTCACAACTACAACTATAACACAAACCTTAAGCAATTATAACAAAAACCAAAGCGTCTATAATCACATAAAGTTCAATTTGTAATAATATTTATATTTACCAGGGTGAAACTTTGAGTGGCGGCCAAAAGCAACGTATTGCCCTTGCAAGAGCAGCTTACAGTCGTTCTGAAGTTTATCTTTTTGACGACCCTTTAAGCGCACTTGACACCAAAGTGTCGGGAAGGGTCTTTGACAATGTTCTCGGAAGGAACGGGATGCTTCGAAACAAGGTATTTTTTATATTTTAAGGCTGTGACAAAAACAGTTGAGAAGTCAATACATATATTGTGATAAAAGTGTGTGGTGTGCTATTCGCAGTTACGTGCAGAACATTAAAACAACGAAGCAACCGTGAGCGACAATAGTGTTCACAGTTTCCACCCAAGAAGGCATTATCACGACATCCTTCTGGCTGATTTTTCACACAAATGTACATAGCCATACATAGCCGTTGCCTTCCAGAAAATCATGAAGGTATATAGGGTGTTTGAAATACCGAGGCTCGCTCTAAAATTGGCCGCAAAAATCAGCTTCTGCACGCATCAATCTAAACTTATCGTCAAAGGTGCAATTCGGAGGCGGGTTTTATCTTGCAAAATTACAAGCCGTAGCTGTCTGCCTGTAAAATATAGAGCCAGAAAACATTCCAGGGTCAACAACGAACGGTGACGCAGACGACGGAGTCAAGGGACGGGCGCGTTTGGCGCACGTATTGATAGATTGCGTTGCCTTTTAGAGATATCAAAACTGCCCACGACAACCGTGGTCCATTAACATGAACATGACATTTTTGTACGTATCTTTGGTTTCAAAATAAATGCGGACAAGGACAGTAAATCTTGAAGTAAGGAAAACAAGAGAAAACGCGGTTGCATAATGATGGCGCTTTTGCTGCCAACGGATTTCGTCTGCGTGTCGTCTGCTTTCCTTCTCTGGACGGCTACACGTTCCGACGCTGCTCTAGAGGTAGCGCCATCTATCAATACGTGCACCAAACACGCCCCATCACTCGACTCTGTTGTCTGCGTCGCCGTTCGCCGTTCGCCATTCACCATGGCAAGTTTTTGGCCAAAGTTTGCACACAAAGGAAGCTATGCCTTGTAGCTTTAGAAGGTAAAGCCCACAGTGATATACACCTTTCACGAAAAGTATAGATTGCTATGTGCAGGTACTAATTCTTACGGCACATTTTAGATCGAGCCTCGGCATTTCGACGCACTATATATAAAAAAAATGAAAGTAAACCGACTACAGGAAGAGCTTCATGAAGCTATTCTTCACAATTAGCGAAAACCTTGATGGTACAGTTTCGTTTCAATGCCATCACTTCTGAAATCAATTATACAGCCCTTTTGCAAAACAAACAAAATACGGTTGAACCCAATTTAACGAAACTCGATTTTACGAATTCCCCAATTTAACGAAGAAATTCGGATTCCCCCGCGCAGCCGATGGCCGAAAAATGTCTTTTTCGATTTTATGAAGTTCTCGATTTAACGAAATGATTAGCGGGTCCTTGTGACTTCGTTAAATCGAGGTTCAGGTGAATACCAACGAGCTTCGCAAGCTTTACGACAAAGTTCACTTCGCGTGTACCATGTTTCCTTCTCGTGTTTGAGGGGCGAAAACATTATCTGCACTGCAGACGACGGAACACCGACTGAGGTTCCTTGCGCAGCTCACCACAAGAATAAAAATTTCGGCAGCGCTTACTGGTCGATGTCGCCATAGAGTTGTTGACTGCTAAGAAAACGACGTGGCGACAGTTGAAAGTTTGAGCTTGTGTAAGCTGAACCGCTTGTTTGTAAACAAATCCGCCTGGATGCACATCATACCAGGTGTTTTTGAGAATAAATGACAATGTTTTTCCGGCCCCCGTTTATAAACGTTGCGCATCGCAGGAAGTTGAAGCATAATGAGAACCTGACGCTTGTGGTTGGAATAGAAAGCGAAAGTTCCAGGGAAAAGCCTAAATCAAAAATAGAAATAAATAATTTTTTAAGACGACGCTTACGTAAGACTAATATCTGAAAAACAAGAAAGGCCTTTGCGATCTACTTAAGTGAAAACAACTTGTCAGAAAGAAAGAAAACCCCATTCTATGGACAAAAAAGTTAGGGCGCTAACAAACTGGTGAAGGTTTAACATAATTTAGGACTTTGAGACTCTGTGTGTGCTGTGCTGTCTTTCGTCTTTTCCTCGGTCTCGGGGTTTTGTCTTAACATATCTTTTTCCTGGCAAGTTTATTTCGTCGATATAAATGCCACCCGTGCCCACAACGTCAGTTCTTGTTTTAACGATAGCAGGCTCAGCTGGACATCGGCTCATAAAAAACATTGGTCTCGTGTTTTTATATCTTGACTCCCTTAACGGTCATGGCTCAAACATTCGCGTTCTATCCCACTCTCAAGACTCCCATTTTCACAGAGTTTAGGCTTCCCGCGATGTGTAGAGTTTTTTTTACGCAGGCCCAAAGACTTGTTTTTTTTTTCTTTCTAGAAAACACACTATCCTAGATTCTTAAACTGGGCGGCTACGAGTACGGCCAGTGGTGAACTTCTGTATAATTTGTTTATCTTTCATACTAAATTTTAATAGTAGCCACACATCCGTGTAATTTCAGCTTCATTTAATCATTATACGAAGCAGACAGCTCTCGACACGGACAGCGTATTTAATAAAATGAATTTGGTGTTTTTTATTTTTTAAACGTGTGCTGCAAGGTTAAATTTGCAAGCTGTTTTCTTTTTTGCGGCATGCAACCGAATATTACAAATCCCAAATTTCAAACTGTGAATGGAAGACGCTACTATGCTTACCGGATTTGCTCGTGGGTTCTTCGCTTCTGGAAAAACATCAAATGATTTGGCTTGCATTGGTGTACGTAAGGAGCCATATTCACAAGCAACCAACTGGCGTTTAGTGAAAAGACGGTGAGAGTGCAGGCGAGCTGGTGGTAGCTAATCATGTCGTATTACACCTGAGACTGCGGTGGAAGAAATCGGAAGAACTTTCAGTAGAAGGAACAGACACAGAGAACGTCTCAAAATTTTGAGACGTTCTCTGTGTCTGTTCCTTCTACTGAAAGTTCTTCCGATTTCTTCCACCGCAGTCTCAGGTGTAATACGACATGACCAACTGGCGTTGAGGTTTTTTTTTGTTTTTGTATTTGAGCCAAGTGATGCATTTAATGTGCATATATTTTTAAATATTATAAAGGTAGACATTGCTAATAATAGACGTATCGCATGACTTTAGTATAAATGGGCCACCCCCTTGTGATATTTATCGTAGATCTTAAAAGGTCAGAAGTAAAAGGTAAAGCGCTGCTGCGCGCCGAATACACAAACATAAAGTTTCAGTTAGTTCGAGCAACCTACAAGAATCGATGGTTCAAATTAAACTTGGTTTCTCGTTTCGCAAGAATGAACTACGCAACGCAGAAAGATGAAACTCCGGGATAGTGCGTTGGCAGGGAGGGTGACGTAATTCGAAAGTTTGAGAGTATGACGTTACCACAAAGAAAGAAAAAAAAATTCTCTGAGCCGAGGTCCAAGGCTTGACATCATATTCATCAAACCAAAACATTACATTGTGAACGCCTGTAGCATTTGTTTTCATGACTACACTTGTCAGTTAGGAAGAACAAGATTGCCTCTTCTTGCTGGCAAGTGCCCTTTACTGCAATTAATGCTAGAGGCGCCCACAATGTAATTTTTGGCATCATACATAATAGGCTTCGGTGTACCTCGACTCATAAAAAATATTTAGTTTATGTCTCATATCTTTTGATCCAGTTAACGTCATGTTCTTGAACTTCCGCAATTTTTCACCAATTGTAGCGTCACGTCCTGACGTAGTTTCAGCTTTCTGCGATGCGTATAGACCAACACTCTGTTTGAAAAACAAGCCTGTGTTTTCTTACACAAGGTAGGGGCACTGCGCGAGAACAGAAACACGATTCGCGTGAGGTGAAGCTTCTGCGCATGCGCCGTGGTGACAACAGCGCCACCGCAGAGGCGTCACGTCAGAGCCGCGTGTTGGACTATACAGTTTATTTTTGCAGGCCGAAAACCCGCGTTTAATTTTCTCGGTCAGTCCCTGTACTCTGCGTTAAACTACGTTAGTGTACGAATTTTTGATGATATGCAAAACATTATTTAAACTTTTTATCACAGCTCAATTTTGGGACATCACTCGAAGTGAGTTCTACTGAGATAGGAGAGATGAAATCCTAACCCTGAATCTTGCGCTTTTTAGAAGGCGGGTTACAAGAACTGCAGTGACCATTCGGGCGCCTTCCCCAACTACCAATTTAGTGGTAGTTAATCTTTAGTATATTCAGCGGTAGGAAAAATTAATAATGCTGTGATAATGTTATCAATATTGTCATGTAAGCCACGTAGATATCCCGCGGGAGAATTGAATTGTAGATTTTAATTAACATTTTGGGTTACGCAATAGAAACTTTAGTACAGTCAATTACGACGAAGAAACGACGGGCCTGGCAGGTTCCGGGAGCTTTATTATAGCTTCGTAAATACTGAGATTGTGGCATTTGCCGAATGAAACGCAAGAGAACGGATTTTGAACCAAGAAGCACGAACACAATAAACAACGTCTTAAGTTCCTTTGGCTACCCTTGACTATATTAGTATAAACAGCTATCTCATGAACATTCGAATTATTTTTGCCTTTGACCTAGTGTAGAAGAAAAATAATTGGTAAAGAAGGAAGCTAAAAACTATATATTGAGTGGGACGAATGATTTGCTAAAACAAAATCTACCTTTTTTCTTGACAGGCCCGTTTTTTCATATTTCGCGATACAAACCCTCGAGGAAACTATATATTTAGAGGAAGCTTGAGCAGATAATCTTATTATACTCGCCAAAAAGTATGATGTTACTAATGAATTGTAAATTATGCTCAACTGGATGCTAAACTATTTCTAAAAAAGCTTAAAATAGGTAATACATGTTCGGAATTCAAACTATTGCATGCAGTTGTTCAAGGAGTTAGGGCTGGTTGCACCAACGCCGCTTAGCGCAAAGCGGAGCTTAGCCGGGAACCTAAGCTTAGTTTTGGTTTCGTTCGGTTGCACCAAAATCGCTTATCGCTAAACCTAGCACTAAACTACGCTTAACTTGAGCGCTCAACATTGGGCGCTTTGCTTTTGGTTGTTTCTTAATCCTGGATTTAAAACATGGCGGCTGGTTTGTGGCGGTTATGGCGGTGGACGAAATTGGTTGTGCAAAGTGTTTTAGGCTACATCAGCGTAAAAGTCTCGACAGAATGACCTTCGATTGTGACAAGGATGCAAAATATTGTCGCGTGAAGTGTTTATCGACCCCTGTTTTCAAGTTGGCTCTCCACTCTCAGGGCGTGTTAGCCCTAACCGAGAAAAGTACGGAGCTGTGGGGCTCACGTCCGTCTTCCCGTTGGTTCTTCTGTCAACGAGCTTATTCGTATGTACTTACTGATTTTCGCATAGCTGTATGTTATTTTTATTTACCACCTTGTTTATTTACACTTGCAGCGCGTATCCTTCTATCTGATCAGCGCGTTGAATAGTGGCAGTACAGTACATGATCTCGGCGATCAGCTGATTGTCGACACCTCTGCCGTTTGCATTAGATTGCGGCGCTTTTAAGTAATAAAACAGCGAAAATTCAATTTCTTTCGTTTTCTGAGTTTTGAGACAATCTTCAGTGAATTTTCCTTATCTCGCGAGTAGAATGTTGGCTTCAGAAAACTGTATCGTTCCATAACCGTAACCTTTTTGGTGATCGCATTTTTTATATATTTTGCTTTATATCTTTCATTCGTTTCTGAGAACGAGATAGTGTTGTTTCCCAGTTGTGCTCTGTGATGGTGTTTTTCCTTTACTTTTGTCGTTTGCTGTCATTGTGACGATGGTTGAGAATATATACCGGAACACGTTTTCAATAAAATTCAGTTGAAAGTTGCGCCTTCTTGCGTCCTCCGTAACGTTTTTGGTGATCGCGATTTTTTAGGAACATTTTGTTTTATATCTTTCATTCGTGGCGACGACAAACCGTAACGACTACTATGTTATATTCGTTCATTGCTGTATCTGTCAGGCTGGGGCAGGTGATGCGAAGAGACGACCGTTCTTATCGGCACGATGTGATGTACTAGTGGGAGATTTTTTTTTTATGAACTCGACAGTGTGAAACTGAAGTCCGTTTGAGGCTGCAGAGGATGTTCAACGACGGTACAATACAGTTCTGTCACCGTGCTGATAGCAACGAGTACCGTCGATGCAAGGTCTCGTGACCTGACCTATCGACGACTTCGACGATTCCGGGCATTTTCGCAGCTGCCGTGGCGAGTTTGTCACTGTTTTGAACTCCATCGGTCTTGGGCATGACTTGATTTTAGTAGTAATCTTACCTGCCTACTTAGTCTTCAGCGATGTAGCGAGTAGAGTGTCCTTCTCCCGTTCGGTGACATTTGGGGCCCCCGATGGCTCCTTCACCTCAAAGTGTGAGAACGAAAACTACTGCCACTGTCAAGATATCCTGTTATCAACCGATATTAAACACATAATCGCAAATGTAAAGAGCATTCGTGTTCATTTAAAGCTTTGACTTCTGTTATTGAAAGTTAAGCGAAAAAATGATTAAATTTGGGGACCTTTAATTCGTTACTCACCGAAGAAATACAGCGAAAAGCAGACGCCTACGACGCCTAGCAGCAGTTTTTTGTTTACATCACGTGATTCCTCTCCGCCAATCGTATTCGTCCCTCTGAGCGTTCCCTAGTTCGTTCTGTTTGTTCCTACATTCCCTAGGCAAATCCAGCGTTTAGCTAGGGGCGCGTCTGTAAAGCCGGCTTTACGTTGGTGCAACCGGAATTTAAACCAGTGCTTACCTGAGCTCGGTTTAGGGCGCTAAGCCGGCTTAGGAAAGTGCCCCTTTGGGTTAAGGTAAGCGGCGTTGGTGCAACCGGCCCTTAAATACCTAAAGTTGTGTCTTGTTCGTAATTAGTTATTTGAAAAAAAAAATCTCACAGTTTTTTTGTATACACATGCATAGCTTCCATCCGGTTTAAAGATAAAAAGTCTACCTTTGTTAAGATATACCCAAGTATATTCCGTTATATTCCGACCACATTAAAAAAAAATTATTACTTGACATATTTTTTAAACATTATGGCAGCCTATTGTTTGTGCATTTAAAAAAGTGTGCAGAAGCATATCTTACCATTTTTATTTTAGACTAAAAGTGAATAAGAATGTGTTCATTAGTTTGGTGGTGTAGAAATGCGATTCACGTGATTAGACACTATCTCTCTGATATTGATGCTGACGTACACAACATCAAAAATGTTTTATACAGACTAGAATTTTAGTTACAAATAACAGCAACCTGTTGCGGAACATGGACCAGCTGCTGCTCGTACATGACAGAACGGTGTCTTCCTACCGAGATGCCAAAGAGTTGGTTGCTCGTCAGAGTCGCTCAAGTCATATCCAGCACGAGAGGGTGCATTTGCGATCTGACTCAGCGCCTGAACTAAGGTAGGGAGTTCGTGTGTTGCGTGAAACCTAACCTTGTTTTAAAATGAAAACACTATTATTAAAACGATTTTTGAACATAGTAACTGCTATTATAACCAAACTGATAGCCTATAGATTATAAGAACAAAGGTATATTTTGATCACCATTCAACTTCGTACGCAATCATGTAAAATAAAATGCTTTAAAGGTCACATGAGAAATTAGACTTGTATCTGAGGAGCTGAATGTATGTCTTAACACTTTTAGGACTTCAATAAACTTAGGCGTCCCACTTCGGCGAGTGTTTCTTCCGCGTTGGGAATACATTTTGCAAGCTTCTTTGAAACAGGAAGTCAAAGTGGGCTTTGTCAAAATGTTGCATCCCATTGTGCATTGGTTTTGTATCCATCACATTAAATGATAGTAATTCTGATCAAAATACCCTGTTCCAGCAGGAATCAAAAACGCGATTTTGATTGCAGCTTGCATTTTCAGGAATTCATATGTATAAAATTATATATTTAACGTAATAAATTTGACAGCCTCTTTTTTGGTTACGTAGTTTTTCGAAGTTATCGTAGAATTGGTGTTGTATACCAGTAATGCTGTTAAAGTATATGCTATTACAATTATTCTGAAATCATTTCGGCACTTAGATAAATAATCATGTGTCTTTTCGACAACAGCGCCGACATAGATTACGTGACAGTCGATGAATCTCAAGGGAGAATTACAGTGGACGAACTGACGACTTCATCCAAGGTAGGAAATATACCGGATATATTTAATGCGGGAAACGAATCCTAGGGAAACAATTTTAGGTTACGCGAATTTCCTTTGAGGTTTTTGCACACGAGGTTATGGGATATTCTTATAGGAAATAAGAGCTTTAATCTCGTCTGTTGTGATCCGGGAACAAAGTGCTAAACTGTATAGTACCTCATGTATCACAGAAAAACATAGAGGGCTTCTTTTGATACGTGAACTTATATGTATTTCCGCACAATACGAGAACGTGCGACCATTACCCTTATAATAGAAAGCCCTGCGTGTGTTACTTTGTACCATAACCAACAAATATACATGTCATCCCAGATAATGCTGCGACTTTAATAGAGATGTTCGCTGCATGAGCCACAAGAAAACTAGTTCTACAAATCAATCTGCCCTGGTCTCTCAAATAAATTCGTATTTGAATCAGGCCTGAATCGCAATAACAACCGAGAAGCATATTACAATGCATCTGTGACCTCTTGTTCCACTTTTCTCGCAGATGCCTTTCGACGTGGGTGTTCATATGTGATCTTTTTCGTTAGACCTTCTTCGGCAAATTTTCCCTTTGGCTGAAGGCACCTTGACAAAATACATGTAAAACAGCTATTAATATACAAAAAATTGACACTGTAGCTTATCTTCATACCAAATCGCAGCAAACTTAGCAAAAACTGAGTTTAGTAGGCTTTAAACTTAACGCTTCGTTAAAAATAAAGGACTAATATCTTCATATTAATTCTTCACACTAAGCTCGTTCAATTTAGCTCGCTTTATAGACAAATGTGCCTTTCAGTTAGATTTACAAAAGAAGTCTATTTAAGTAAAGGTGCAATTTCCCAATCCTGCCCAAGCATTCCCAATGCTGCCGAATTGAAGAACAAATAAAGAATGAACCCTGAAAATGGCCTTGATCAGAGGCTTTGTCCTGGCCAGGTATCCCATTAATATTTGCAAGAACTTTGATGGCGGTGTTGTTACGTTAATATTCATACATGTTTGTACTTTTGTTTTACCGAAGTTCCTTGTGTGAATCTGGGACAATAATCATTCCGTAAGTACTTCCGCTTGACGAAATTCACAAACCCGATTGTCCTCTACGACCGATTGTGTCGTTTGTTGGTTCCCCCACGTACAACCTATCTAAATATCTAGTAGAGCTGCTTTCTCCCATAACAGGGAATAACAACTTTACAGTTATAAACTCTCGAGAATTTGTTGACCTAATTCGAGGTCATGCTCTGGACAAGGGGGATGTAATGGTCTCGTTTGATGTTATATCTTTGTTCACTAATGTTCCGACCACTCTTGCAGTGGAAGTTGCCGAAACACGCCTACGTAATGACTCCACACTTTCGTCACGGACATCTCTGACAGTTGAGGATATTATTATTCTTTTGCGTTTTTGTCTAAATCAGTCGCATTTCACCTTCCGTGGACAATTCTATCGTCAGATTGAGGGTTGCCCAATGGGTAGTCCGGTATCTGTGACCTTGGCTAATCTGGTAATGGAACACATAGAGCAGACCGCGTTAGAAGTAAAAGCATGCCCTGTCAAATTCTATCGACGTTACGTAGATGACACTTTCGTTATTTTAAATGAGGATCACGTCGATGACTTCCATGCAACCCTAAACAGCATTGAACCTTCCATACAGTTCACGCGAGAAGTTTAACAAAATAGCACGTTACTTTTTTTGGACGTAACTGTTTGCCGAAGTGACACCGGTCAGATTGAAACCACCGTGTATCGTAAACCTTGTGATACCGGTAATTTTTTGAGTTTCAATTCTCACCACCCTGTAGAACATAAGCGAGCCGTTGTAAAAACTTTAATTAGCCGATCGGAACAGTTGCCTTCAAATTCAAATTTACGAGCATCGGAAGTTCAGACTGTTATCGGATCCCTTTTGAGGCGCGGTTATTCACAAGGTTTTATTGAAAACACACGTAAACAGATGCAGCAGGGAAGAACAAAAGCGACTAATAATTACAAAGCAGGCGTGGTGACTATCCCTTATGTAAAAGGCATCTCAGAATCTATTCGCCGGTCCCTCCTGCCACTAGGTATACGAACAACTTTCAAACCCCATATAAAATTACGTGACCTCATTTCGAAGCCAAAAGATCCAACCCCTCCTGAATCTCAAAGTGGTGTTGTATACAAAGTGAACTGTCAGGACTGTGACAAGTGTTACATCGGAGAAACTGGCCGCAAACGGAGTACCCGCCTCAAAGAACACAAAAGAGACGTGGAGAAGGCAACACATGCCACAAGATCAAAAACAGAACTGGTGGACCATTGTTGGACGACTGGTCACACTTTCGACCTGGCGAATGCTGTGACCCTGGCACGCGAACAACGGTGGGGCCCCAGAAGATTTCTGGAATCATGGTGTATTCGGAGTGACCCATCTGCCTGCAATTCTAACCGCGGCCCCCTCCCCGACGTATACACCGACATCCTGAAATAACTTGTCATTTAACTTACCATCCAGGACGGACGTAAAAAGAAGTTGAAGCGAGGGCAGACAATGATAATGTCTCCCTTATGCCATGGACGAAAAAGTCGGCAGAACCAGCGCCACGGATGAAGAGAAGGAAGAAGAAGCGTTGGATTTCTGGTAGCTAGTCGGGTGTTCCCAGGCCGCACTGATGATGTCTCCCGTATAGGAGACGAAACGTCTGATAAATGTTGATATTGTTATGCAAGTGGAGGTATTTGTTTTTAATCATGAATCCCGGCTTTTGGAACATTTTTGCAGGTATAATAAGCGTAAAAAATATTTATGAATTTCGTTTATTGCATTTTTTATTCTTGTCAATTGAAAGCTTCAGATCATTTTTAAGCAGGACATTTGATTTATCGAAACAAATAAGGGACCCTCGCACCCGAAGCTGTGGCAGGTGGTTAGTGCCGCGCCAGCGCACTGAATACTTCTCGTAGTCGCTGACATATAACTTACCTTTTATTTTAAACAAGTATCTAAAACAAAATATTAACTTTGATACATTTACTAGTAAAAAGATGCGAGAATTTTTTGTAAGCAACAGATGAAGATGCATTAATCTCTATCTTGTATACGGAAAAGTTGTCGTGCTCAAGCCTATTGTAATTTTTGCTAGAAAACAAGCCCTCTGGTGAAATTTCATTTATGTCATTTATATTTCCATCAAGGGTTGATAATATTTATATAGTATTTGACATGTGTCATATAGAATTGTATACATTCACACTGTGTTTGTGTGTACTCATAATGTTACGCGTCATATTTTGTGTACTTTTTCACAAAAATGTTGCTGTCTGCATGGGCCCCCAGGCACTTTCAAGCTGTCCAAGACAGCTTTTTCGCCCGGGGACCCCCAACACTGTGTTGGAAATAAAAAGTGGATTAAATTGAATTATAAAATTGAATTGAATTGAACATTGTGCCCGTGTATATTTTCAGACTGCTTTTGGTGTAGCCTGGGCCTTTGCAAAACTTTGCGGAATATATGGACCTCTGGCACTGGTGTTCTTTCTTGGTAGCGGAGTTGGGTTTGCCTGGCAGCTGATATGGATCAAGGAGTGGACAGAGTCTGAGGTTCTAGGAGGACCCAGGGAAAACGGCTGGAAAAGGGGGCTGGTTATTCTTTGCTTATCTGACGGTATATATAGCCTAAAACACATTAGGATTAGCGTCCCGTGTTTCCGGTGTTTATTTTTCGTTGGATTCGGGTTGTTTATTTGGTGATTTATTTTTCCACGCAGATTGGACGTTTTTTGGTATTCAATTTCTCGCGTCGGACAAAGGTCGAGTTTGTCGGAGATTTTAAGGCGATGGCGTTAAGGAGCTCGTGTCGCAGAATATGCGGCGTCGGCGGGACAAGAAGGCCCTGATTGGTCGATAGGGTCATGACGTCAGACGTGACGTCACGGGTGAGACGTCACGCCACATGACCTCGCGCGGGAATTTCAAACATCCCACATCGCTCCCGTGTAATGTCACGTGAAACACGACGTCACACGCAACGTTACAAGTGACGCTGCACGTGACGTCACATGGCATAATGGCAGCGTCACGTAACTGTGTGACGTCACACAAACACTTGACTTTGACGTCACGTGCGACGTTAAACGTGACGTCACACGTAACACCACACAACGTCACGCGTGACGTCACGTGACACGTGACGCTACCGACTAGGCCACGCACACACGCTCGCACGGCTTGTGAACGAGCGCGGAGGATATATATGAGAAGACTTTGCGAACGGGGCCCGATAGCGCTATCGCGTGCCACCCATAAAGGCAGGGAACGAGGTATGGTGTGCTCTTTTGAAGGAAAACCCAGCCTGGCAGACAGTTCGCTGTACTTTGTTTGAGCTTAAGTTCAGACTCAGCCGACGCAAGGAACTTATGAAACAAAGCAAACAGCGTCAAAAGCGCAAGTCTATGGGCCTTTTCTGTTCATGATTCGCTCAACACTGATAGAACGCGTACAGAAACATGACGTTCACCATGACGGTGAGCTTTTGACGCTGTCCGATTGGTGCCATCAACTCGTAGCATCGGCTGCATCTGGACTTAACGTGAAACAAAGTATCGGCGCAGTTGTCCGGATTAACACATAATAAAACTGTAGATGAAAATATGTCTTCGCGCGAAGGTTCGGGTTGTCCTTATTCAAGGACAGGTGGAATTTGGGGTTACTTGGTTTATTCCCCTTTTTAACAAGACCGGCTCGGGGGTTTGTTTTCGGGGTTTATCGGAGTTTACCCAAAACAAGAAACACTAAATGTGATCGATGAGGCAAACATTTGGGGGAGGCTTAAGCTTCTCCTTTAAGGGTGGAACGCGATGGCGTTATCAGGCCCCGTTCGCAAAGCCTTCTCAAATAAACGCGTGCTTGTTGGCGAGCCGTGCAAGCTTCTGTGCGTGTGACGTGACGTGACGTCGCACGTCACGTCACACGTGGCTGCGCGCGTTGGATTATGGGATTTTTTGGTCC